TGGGGAAAAAACATTTGTTTTCATGAACAGAATTCGGTCCAACCCTTGACTCTCTGGGTGTAGCTCATGGATGACGTTTTCCACAATTAACCAGAAGACCAAGTTTATCACAAATCAAATTAAAAATATGACTTTCCTGGAAACACAAAACCGAGACCTGAGAAAACTTCTAACGCTTGTATGAGAGGCTAGCGGCTTTTTCAGCATCCAGTTCTTCTTGATGCGTCCGAGGCCTGAATCCTGACCAGTATTTGAACTTCCACCAATCCTGCTTTCTTTTCTGTTTATATGAGCTCTTTACTGTCATTTTGATTATAGCCCTCATTCATCCAGCTTCAATGTGGAGAAATTTAGGTCTGATTGAGGTTTTTTTTTAATACGCCTATCAATTCTAGAACAGGCCTGAGCCAAAGCAGCTGCTGTAATGAGAACACAGGAGGCTTTAATTACAGATAAATGCGGATACGAGCTGAACTCATTAACCACGCTGATCCACAGGAGACGCTGATGCTACGAGTATCGCTGCGTTTTCACACACGAGCTGCAGATCTGAGCCGCTCCGTACGTTCCTCAAGGATGCATGCGAGAGCGCAAATGTCTGAATCGGTCGGACTAAACCCTGCAAGCTCCCTCGTACCGAGTGTCTAATTGAGGTCATGTGTGAATAAGAGCGGTTAACTGTCTGGAGAGTTTACAGGGAGGAGTGAGTGAGGGAGATGTCCTGCTTCCTGTATGCTCTGCCCAAACCGAGTGTTTCTAGAAGTGAGATAACGTCTGCATGATAAAAACTACACTGTGATGTTTTGTTCTTGTGCAATACAATTTTCACCAGATTAATCGAATAATTTCCTGTATAACTTCTATTTTGTTCCACTTATTTCCATGCAACCACAATTGTCGCCAAAATGATAATAACGATTTTTTTTCTGGTCAGTTTTTATGAGATATTTTTATCGCACTTTCATATTTAAATAAAGACAGTGCCTCTTTCTCTTCCACGCTGTGCTACACTTCTGCTAAATCATCAAAAATAGGGCTCTTCTTCACCTGAATTCAGTGCGTCTAAACCTAAATGAAACTGCATCCACTTGCTGAACATCGGCTCATCAACAGACGTTACAATTTACAGATGTTCCCTAAAAGCCTCACATGCATGTTACGGTAGTTGTAAGCTGGCGAAGTGGTCTCTGGTTCAGAGAAGCTTCTAGTCTCCACTCAGTCACTGGAGTGCAACAACTCAGATTTACCCAAGTTGAAACCAAGCGATTTCCCATACACAGGATGTTTCCTTTGTGAAGATCGTGTTCATTTAATTGTACGAAGCCAAAATAATGATTGCGATTAATAATCCATTAAATGTGCGGCGTTACGAGCAACGCTGCACTTTTTTGTTGCAACCATCCATCCATCTGTTATCTATACACCGCTTAATCCTCACTAGGATCGCGGGGGGCTGGAGCCAGTTTATCACAGGGCTACACTTAGAGACAGACAACCAAGCACACTCACATTCACACCTATGGACAATTTAGAATCACCAATTAACCTCACAAACCTCACTTTGTGAGAGAACCCGGAGAGAACCCACGCAGCACCGGGAGAACATGCAAACTCCACGCAGAAAGATCCCGGTGCCCCCACCGGGACGCGAACTGGCAACCTTCTTGCTGCGAGGCAACAGTGCTACCAACTGCGCCACCTTGCAGCCTTTGTTGCAACCAATTATTTAGTGTTTTTTTTTTTCTCCCGTTCTTCGCTCATTTTGCTGTGCGAATATGAAGTCTGCATGTCAGCTAACTCTGTGTCTTGGAACGAAAGAAAAAATGAAAACTCAGTTTGTCCAGGAACCCTTAAATCTGAGTGAATTATGCTATAGATGGACAAACTTCTCTTGTAGATCAGTCATGGAAAACAGGAATCGCGTGTGTTTTCATTCATTCATTTACTCACTTCACATTGCAAGAACCACCTTCCTGCTATCCCCACTCCCCCAGCTCCAACCTTTCCTGAGCCTGGTCCTGCCAGAGGTTTTTTTTTTGTCCCTGTCCCATTGGGATTTTTTTTTCCCCGTTCCTTCCCACCATTGCTGACTGCTTGCTCATATGGAATCCAAAGGCAACTTGGATTGTTGGGTTCTTTGTTTAAAATTCACATAGTCTTCTCCTCACCATGTTAAGCCCTGTGAGATGACATTTGTTGTGAATTGCGCTATAGAAATAAAACTGAATTGAACTGAAGCGATGAAACTATGTACAAATGTATTGAGGAATGTTTCTCCCTCAAGATTTTCCAAATCTCTCCAACTTTCTCAGCTAAGGTAAGAAAAGAGGGTTAACACATCTAATAATTAATCTCTGATTGTTGAGGAAATAACTTCACGTGGTTCAGAATCAGAGCAAAAACACAGTGGCTTCCTGAAATGACAGTTTTAAAATGTACAAATGTTCCTAAAGGAAAGCTGCAAGTGCTTTGAGTGGAAAAGGCCACATAGGTTAGTGAGTGTAAAGATTGTGTCAGTGACTACAAAGGCACATAAACGGTAGCATGTCATTGGTAGCAATTTGAGTAATTATGCATTTCTACAAGCAGCACAGTGTGATGCAACTCTTTACTAAAGGAGGGAAAATGCAGACTCCAGATTACATGATAAGGAAGGCAGACATCTAGGAGCAAATACCACACAAGGTTCAGGTTAGTGCAACTACAATCAGCAACTATTTGTATGTGACTAACAATTTGCAGATTTGTTCTTGTGTTTCTGAAACGTGAACCACACACCCATCGCTAATATCAGGGCGTAGCAGCAGATTAACATCGAGGAAATCGACCTTTGTGGAACATTAACCAAAGGGAGGGGATGATACAGCGGGGAGGAGCTCGTCTCTTGAAAAATTCTCCTTGAAAATCCTGCAGCCAAGTCCAACCGCATCCCGTATTCTGAGTGAAGGGGAAAAGCTGTGGTGGATGTTTCACGTCTGTGTCGTGTGTTTGCTTTGAATCACCGTGTTCAAAAGAACGCAGCACAACAACGACGAGGTGTGTTGAAATAATGAAGACGCCCCGGCTGCTGTGTCACGCTGCCTTTAATATTTCCTCTCTGCATCGAGCGCATCTGCATCAGCTGCTGATATGATCTTCGGTACTTACGAGGCAACTCCCTACACGTTTATTGAACTTTGCTGGATGTTGAGGCCACACGAATGTTCCTCGCAAGAATCAGGTTGAAATCAGGAGCTCCCTGCTGTATTGGGCCTTCCCAGAGCCAAACGCTGCTCATCAGCTCAGCGGTAGAGTGTTTAATGATTGTTCATGCAAACGTGAAACTAGTAACACACTCATCTTAATTAATCTCAAACAGTTTCTCGGCAGTTTTGACTCCTTTTTCCTCACTGTGGGCTCATTTTTACTCCAATAGAAAGTCCTGCACCTCTATGGAAACAGCACAACCACGACAAGGGGGAATTCAAGGATGTCTAAAGTTGTGGAAATGTCGTTATTTATTTTACAAAAGCTGGGAAAAAAACTCAAATCCACATGTCCAATCGACATTTCTTCCATGCTGGAAAACAAATTTGGCTCCAAATGCTACAGATATTTTACTATTTGCATTTTTACAACCTCGACAATTCAGGTGTTTTCCCACCTCTTTAAAAGATGCTTCACCGTGCTGACTGTATCTTGCAGTTTTTGAGCCATGCTGTATACACTTTATCGATTAAGTATGTTTTATTCTTGTCTCGACTTTATCGATTAAGTATGTTTTATTCTCGTCTCGGCCCGTCTGGTCGTCTCCTTCCTGCTCTGTGACAACACTGCCTGCAGTTCAGCCGAACAGTCCCTGAATTTTTCCTATTTGACCGATTGTAGCAGCGAATGAGTGACTGGTGTCGGATATTATAACAGAACGTGGCGACAACAAATGACTCACTTCTGGTGGATCTGTAAGTGAGACGTGTAGGAAGAAATATCACGATTCTTCGCTTAGATGTGGTTCATTTTCCATACGCGATTAGTTTAAAAGACTCTAAGAAAGTTGAAAATGCGCAGATTTATTCTGTTTGTACAGTTTCTGGTAATTTTTTTAAAAGAATAACATCCCTTTCAAACCCACGAGCAGGATTTTGGGGCTGTTCCTTCACAAAATCTGCACAATTCTTCCTCAAAAACAAGTCATTTTCTCATGCATGTTTTCATTACAACAATTGCTAATGCACTTTTGAATTGTGCATATGTAGTTTACAATATGTGATGTTGTGCACGCTTATTAAAGATTTTAGCAATGCACGAGCAGATAAACATACCGCATGTGAGGAAACAGTGACCATTTGTTGACGTGGTGCATCTTTCCATCACTAGTCTCTCTGAGCATGTAAATCAGCTTTGTGGAGGAGTGCATGTGCCAAAACAAAGCTGCTGTGTAGACTGTGACATGACTGCAGGAGCACAGATGGTGCTGCACAACGCTGACGGTGGCGGAAACGGCGACGAAGAGCATGAACAGCAAAAGTGCATCTAAAGACAGGCGGGGACCAGAGAATATGCATCTCTGTCCGGTGACATGCTCCACTGACATGCGATCACACACTGACACACAGCTCCCGCAAGCCTTAAATAGACCACTGTTGTAGACTAATTCCCACATACTGCTGGTGGACGGTGCATCATCCCCTTGCACGTGAAAACCAGCTCAATGGGGGCTGAGATCCTCTGGATGAATGCTGTCATCCACTTACAAAGGCACGCAACTTAGGCTGATTCAAAACCTGGTGGGTTGCATGCAAACTGTGCTGATGTGGGTCACAACAGGTGCAGCTCTGCTCCAAGTTTTGGATTCATGTGAGATTTTTTTTTTGAAGAAGGTCTTGTTTATTCTAAAGGGAAATAAAGTGGTGCACCTGCCCAGCTCCTGGGCCTCCACAACACAATCATGTGGTCTCCATTAAATGCCACAGACACATGAGAGATAATAGGAGGAGGCCAGCTGCCGTGGGTTTACTTACTCAGCGTATCCGGTGGCCCACGGTAATCTCCTGGTTTCCTTCAGGATGAGGATGGGCCGAGCGATGTGGTCCGCGGAGCACTCGATCTCATCCGGGGACAGCCCCAGGAACTCGGGTCTCATATATGGGAATTTCAGCGGCATCTCGGAACCAGGATTCCCGCCTCCCCCGGAGCTGCCCCCGGACATGATTCCACCCATGAACCCGGCCACGGCGGACTTGACCCGGGTGAGCATGTTGGTGGCGCGTCGCGGCGGCGGCGGGGCGTCCGTCGGCCGCTGCGCAGCGCCGCGGCTCCCTTTCCCCGGATTCCCCCCCAGCTCGGCCGCGCAGGTCGACGACAGGCTCGATGGAGGAGGAAAGAGGCGGAGGATGAGGAAGAGGAGAGGCTCAGACGGTCAAGGTTTCATTCATTCAAGAGGGGGGAAAGAGCAGCCGGAGGGCGGCACGGGAGGGCGCAGACGGCGGGGGATGCTTTAGGTGAAGCCCCGCTCACCTCCATGGAGAGTCATTGATAAGAGCTCGGCCGTCGTGAACGCGGAAATACACGGAAGATTAACGGGTCATGTGATGCATCCATGGACGCACACTGCAAGAAAAAAAACACAACCAGGCTGTGGGTGGGATCCATGCTTTCATTTCATCTGCTGTGTGCTGCTAAATGATTTCTGCAAGCATTAAAAAAAAACACATGCACACAATAAAAATGTAAATATACATAAAACACACGCTGATCTGTTGTTTCTCTCTGTGTAGCAGCTTAAATTCCCAACAAAATGTCATAAATCAGCTGCAAACAAAGAAGCTGTGCACGATTCCTTTATAAAATCACCTTTATTTTAACAAGTTAACCTGATATATTTAATAAAATGGCCTAAACTGTGGTGTTTACAGCGAACACAGTAAAGGCTCAATATGCTGAGCTGTTTGTGAGACTGATATTTCTTACAGTGCACAGTGAGCAGCTTAAAGTGGTTGCCAGCAGGTTAAAGGTACTCTCTAATCACTCCTACAGCCGCCACAGGCAACAGAAGCCCCACAGAAATCTGAATTAAAAGCCATGTAAAGGTCTTTATATATATTCATAGGTGTCTTGGTGGCTTCCCTCATGAGTCTCTTTCTGACCTTAACCCTCTACATAGCCCTTTCACATACTTGATTTTGAAATTTTTGCCTTTTAGTGCTTTTCAGCGATGAATCATGGTCGATTTAATTTGTCTTTTTTTGGAAAGATGTGTCATCCCAAAGTGAAAACAGACTTCTACAAAGCAATGCCAATTCATCGAACACATAAAATGTAAAATCAGTGATTACAGGAGTGTTTTTTATCCGCTTTAAAGTGACTCACCTAAATCAACACAAGGTGCAGCCAGTTGGTGCCAGAGGTCACACGCTTATTGAAATAAAGATCATCTGAGTGCAGCAAACGTGTGTCAGAGATTGTAAAGACATCTGGGAGGTCCAGTCATGGTGAATCAGCACTCACAGTTATAACTACACCGTGGAGACAAAGGAACACCCATGACTCCTCTGAAGGAACTACAAGCTTCAGAGAAACCGCTCATACAAGTGTTGCTTCTTCTTCACCAGGCAAACCAGGAAAACCACTGCTGAAAAAAGCTCACGTTGAATCTGGACTAGAGTTTGTCAGAAGGCATGTGGGAGACTCTGAAGTCAACTGGAAGAAGGTTCTTTGGTCTGATGGAGCTTTTTGGCCGTCAAACTAGACCCTATAGTTGGCCAAGCACTGCACATTATCACAAACATGCCGCCCCTAACATGAAGCATGGTGGTGGCAGCATCATGATGTGGGGATGCTACAGGTCCTGGAGTAAGAACTGGAAAAGAACCAAAATTATTATTTCATATTTGATAATAGTTTAGTTGAAGGTTGGAATGGTAATATTGAAAACTGATAGTTTCATTGTGGTTTGGAAGAATGCATTTAGTAAATGCGTGACTTGTTGCTGATAGGTTTGAGAGCAGTTTGATTTGTGCTTCCAATTAAATAACGTTGCGTCGCTGTGACGTAGTGGATGAGGCTCATTGTTCAGATTGAAGCCAGAGACGTGGGAAGCAACATAGTTTTTTTGACCGTGTGAGTATGTGTAATTTTTGATCCTTTTTTCTTTTTATTAAACTATTTACAAGGAAGAACTCGTCTCACTCGCGTTTCAAATATGAGTTGCTAGACTGGCTTCGGAGCGTGGTACAAAGAAGAACGGAACAGAGTGCCGCTACAAGAGCTGTTTCCTTAAGATCCCCCCATGCAACCTGACAGAACTTGAGCAGTTTGCAAAGAAGAGTGGGTTTAAGTGTCCAGATGGGCAAGTCTGAGTGACCCCTGTCCCCACAGGCCAATTAGGTGAGTCCCTTTTACAGCTACTAAATCTATAGTTTATACCAACACACATGACATGAGCTCTCCTTCCCCACTTTTTTGTTTTTTTTTCCCGCCAGCCTTTCAAGTTCTACTCACTGCTGCAATATCACTATGTCAAAATGTAAGACAGGGTAGAATCAAGTGATCACGTGCTACTTTATGATTCATTTCCATCATCCACGTTACAGGATGGCTTTCTCTAAAACACAGTTCCTTATTTGTTGAGTTGTCACACTTCAATGTGACTGAACACCAACTCTCCTGCAACTCCATGAGCCGTGTTTGAGATGTCAAACTTCCTAAATGAAAATATTCGTGACATCAGTTCCACCTCATGAGTCGACTGACTTGCGACATAGCAGGATTATGTCAGGAATGATGTTGAGAAATGTGTTTGCAGCTTGACTTTTTAAAAGTCCAGAAACATTTGGCAGAGCCTAGAGAGCTCTGAGGGCGTCTCCTGAAGCCCACCCAGCAGAACAGCTCACCAGCAGCATGGCGTTAAAAACTAAAAGGTCTCCTCTCCTTTTTGCGATGTTGCAGGATGATGCCAATTAGACTAATCTTTTAGGACAGGATAGGGGCTGACGAAGTTCTCAAAACATAGACCGCGTGCAGATGAAACGCACGTACAGTTCTCCTGTAGATACTCAACAAGGAAAGAAGGACCGAAGAAAGACTGAAGAGGACGATCACTGGTAAGAAAAATAACTTTAACACTTTTTCCTTCTTCTTCTTGAAATCATGTTTGATGGCTGAGGGTATAATGTCTTACGCAACAACGATGTTTTCTAGATCTTTGCTTCAGCTGCTTAAGTTTGAGATCAAAACCTACTGATTAAGAAGAACTTTTACAACTTTAGACATGTTGGAAAATGCCACACTGTAAAAACAAACAAACAAAAAAGCAACACCGATAAACAAACAACAAAAAAAAGTAATGTTTTAAAAGAAATTTCCCTCTATAATTTACAGTTTTGCTCTTGAAAATGTCAGGAGGATTACAAAAACAGACGATGAATTTACACGTCTAATGTAAACTAACATTAAAAACCTTCAAATAACCATTCAATCAGATTTTGGTAAAGAAAAAAAAAGTTTTTTAAAAATAAAAAAAAGCTAAAATACATTTACAAATGTTTTAGAACGTTATTTATTTGATGAAACAGTGACATTTAAGTGGAATACTGCAGATTAGATACAGTCTAGCTATCCTTATTATTATATATTTTCAGTAATTTCATAGTAGTCACTGTAAATATTCTTAAATAAACATTAAAAAGCAAAAAAACAAAAAACAAAAGCCCATAAACCTCCATACAATCCTGTGAAATTAAATCTAGATATAAACTGTAATTATGAAAAATTACTACATTTTTACCAGATGCTTATTTCCCCCTGATGTTGCAGTTTTACTTACATTTAAAAAAAAAATGCACATTTTACATTTTATGCTTCTAGTTTTATTATATTTTTAGGACATATTTTTCAACTTGTGTTTATATATTTTTAGTACCGTTTGTATTTCTAAGACTTTGAATGGGAGCTATTGCAACATAAGTAGTTTCCCCTCGGGGATCAATAAAGTATTTCTGATTCAGATTTTATAGTGCAAAGGAGGAATCCCGTATTAATGACTCACAATAAAAACTGGCTATAAATGAGAGCTCTGTGAGCTTTTTTTATAATGAATCACCAGCAGTTATGACAGGAAAAGTGAACCGTTGTTCCTAATACAAACCCACAACTAACTATTAATGGCCTTCTAACCCATATAGCGTCATTATTATCTTACAGAAAGCTGCAGTCTTTAACTTGAGAAGTGTGGAGAAAAAAAAAAGCTGTATTGTAATGCACCTTAACCCCAGCAGATAGAGCCATTACACTGGAGTGGATGGAGGAGTTTAAGCAACAATACTGACCATCCAATACGCTCACCTGTAAAAGAGTAACAAGACCCTTGAGGAAGCGCTAAAACAAACAGGTTTAAAATCATCGATCTTCCTTCAGGTCTAGTTCAGGTCAATGTTTTATCTCAATAACATTTTCAACGAGGAAGTTCAAAGAAACCGAGCTTCGTGCCAAATATGCAAAACCAGTCAGCTGCCTGTTGTTTGATTCCGTATTTAAGCCTGCCTGACTAAGGGAGTCTATTTGCATCAAAAAGTGATTTGACTTTGACCAGGCACGTGTGTGTGTGTGTGTCTGCTGTGGGTTCAGTACAACATATCTGAATAAGCTATTATTAGACACTCGTGTAACTGGATGACAGCGTCTGCCAGTGTTTTTTCTGAAGGTGTATCCTTTTAAAAGAAACTCTTACAACTGTGTTTACACAGCGAACAGATAGCATCTATTCCTTAGGCCGTGACCATCATGAGTCACGGCACTCACCTTGGAATGAAACCATACGCGGTACTAATCAGCTGTCTCAATTGAGTTTACGACATTGCGCACTGTTGTTGTTGCACAACAGCATTTCAAAGAAGCGCAGAGCCTGACAGTAAACGCACCTGAAAGTGAAGCTCTTGCAGTCGCCGTACACACGTTTAGTACCTGGATTGACCCAAATTTCATTATGCAGTGTTTTCCTGCAATCAAAACCTTCAAGGGGATTAGCATAGAGGTGCATTTCCTTTATCATGTCTCCTTCCTAGAATTGGAGTTGCAGGAAGTTCCGATTTTCTTCTCGTTATCCTGGGGTGACTCCTCTCTGAAACAGAATGTTCATGCTCCTGGCCGTACAAGCTGTTTGTTGGAAGCTCAGTAGGATGTAGAAAATTAGTGTGTCTAGGGGGATGGTTTGAGAATGCAAGGCATGCCCGAGGAGTTTGTCAGAATTAGCGGGAAATGTATGTTTTGTAATATGAAGAGTGTTGGGTAACATGACAGAGCAAGACAACAAGAGGATGTCAAAAATCCCATATATGTAATAAATATAAGGGACTAATACATAAAACATGATCAGGTTGTTAAAATGTATTACCAAAATTAAATTGTTTCAGCTAAAATCTATAGTTTTTTTTTAGAATAGAATGCCTTTATTGTCACTATACACATGTACAATGAGATTAAGAGCAGCTCCTTCAGTGCAACATAGAATAAAGAACAAAATAAAGAGCAAAGAAATAAAAAAAATAGAAGAGATTTAAATATAAAATAAGATAAGTTATATATACAGTATACAGTATGAGTCTCCAACCATCTTCTAGGAGTGAATGTTGGCTTTACATATGCCATGCCATCAGAAACATGCAAATGTCGCATCTACTAGATATTATAAACAGGGAACTGTATTCTAAGACCACATAAACCCAAAAATGCGGCAGTGTTAGTGTTTTGTTTGCAGGTTGTTTCCACTGTCGCCAAGTGGCCCCAAAATCAGGAACTGTGAGTGTAAATACCATAAAGGACAGCGACCTTCTAGTTAACTTCAGCACCGCAGGATTTTGCCCATGTAAGGGAATGCAGTGAAAGACCAAGGGGAAGTTGAATTCAGGCTATCAGGAAACTAAATGTTAGTGGTCACTGTTATGACTAATGGATAATTCAGGTGATCCAACCGAAAGCTACCAAACATGATCTTTTAATGCACCCAAAGTGCTTTTATTCTTTTCTTTCGGTAGCTTTTCTTAATCTCAACATTCTATTGTGTTTGAGGCTGAACAGGTGAGCGCGGTATAAAGACTGCGATGCTCGTATTAAGCTTCAGTCCACTCAGTTGTCTCTGACTGGGCTGGATTAAACTGCAGGATGACTGCATTTACAACAACGGGTTAGATGTGCACAGGTATATTGTTATTCTCTGACATTGAATTTCACAATAAAAAGTGTGTGTATTTGACGCCTGGGATTCTGTAATATTTCAGATTTAATTGCGTCAAAAGTCAAATAGTATGTCATAAGTGGCGTATTCAACTGAAAGATATTGAAGAAAAGAGGATGTCCATTATTGGAACATCACATTTCAACCTTATTGGAAGTGCTACAGTGGAAAAGCCCTCATGATTTTGCTCCGCCTCCCAAAAAAGAAATATCTGAATCCAGTGTTTCAGCAGCAGTCATTCACTGTGTGTGCTCACTGCAAAGCACACAGAGGGATACCATCACCCTGAGTAAACACAGACAAGCCTCCTCGCCATCCGGCTGCCTGTCAGACTCTCTGCTGAACCTCATCTGACCCTGCCAAGTCAGCCCAGCCAGGACAAGAAGGAGGAAAAGACAAGGAGTAAAAGGAAGAAGAAGAAGAAGACAGTACCTGGAGAAGCAGAGTAGCAGAAGAAGAAGTTGGCTGGTAAAAATGATCCTGCTGGTGTTCCTGCTGATGTCTCACTGCTGCTGGGGTCTAGCTGCAGCAGAAAGCAACTCACAACTAGAGAGGATTGACAGATGCCAGACAAGGTGTTCTCAGGTAAACCTACATCATCAGCAGCACTCATATCACTGAGCTACTCACTGTGGCAATGTCCTGTCTGTTATTAACACATGCTGCTTTTTTGTTTGTTCTGCTGCTAATATTGCATGACTCTTACAGCAAAAGTACTTATACTGCTGATATCATTTTATTGTCTCCAGTGATATCCAGTGATATCTGTGATATCTCTACAGCTACGACTGCAGCACCACCTGCACACTGACAGATACTGAAAGTTCCAGTTTCAGTATTTGTTTCTATATGGTTTTAATGAGTTTGGATTTCCGTGAAGGCTTGAGTCCACTTCAGTTGAGATTAAAGGCTCTCAAATAATAACTGTAAAGCCAGTTTCTGACCCATCAATTGAGTCAATTTAAATTTAGACATTTTTTTCAGGACACATCTTGCAAAGAATTTTCTTATTTTGAAAAGCTGGTGTGTAGACTTTTTTTTATTTTATTTTATTTTATTTTTTTACACATATGTACAATAAAAAGAAACTGTAGTATTACCATTTAATCATTGACTGGAATCTAAGGAGGAAACAGTTTCAAATCTTTCTGGGTGGAGTAAGGACAAGGAACACTGTGGCTAGTCTTTTGTCAGCAGGTTGAAAATAAATCTGAACTCATATTATTATAACTACACCTTTTATCTCTTTTGCAAGTTTCTACATGTATATGTGCGCCAAGTCACTAACCATTGTCTTGTTGTAGCAGCTGACCTCCAAATCCCCAAAATATCCTCCAGATATCTATTAACTATGAAGCTCAAACATGAGTTATGTTGACATTCATAATATCTATGAGGCAATGTGACTTACCTCATACACTGTCAAGCTGAGAATGATGCTTCTTAGAAAAGAGATATCAAATCACACAATGCAAGAACTGTGACTCATTCAGTGATACTGTTACATTCTCCATGTCAGAAAAGTGAGGCCATACTCTGACACTGTTAGTTATCACTTGGTGCAAGAATAACAAACACATGAATATCCGGAATATTTTTTCGCAGGGTGTATTTTCTGGCCCCTGAATAAACTACAGAGCATCTTGTGATGGCATCGCACAAAACGTGATACCTGCTAACATGTTGATGTTCCGACTCAGTGGCAATCTCCACCGCTGAAAAATGAAGTGAACGCGGAACTGCTGAAAACTGCAGTTCCTGGAATGGCCACTAGAGGCTGGCTCTTTCCCCTGTTGAGCCCCATGTTAAAATACTCAACTTCACAGCAGATATAAAAATGTTTACAGCTTTGTAGAGAAAACAGCTTTGGTCTCAACAACTAAATTTACCACTAAAGACAACTGCACAGGTGGTGGATTTTTACATAACTCACCTGTTTAAGCTGTATTAAGGCTCAAAGTTATGCATTATTATGGAGGTGGCTATTTTGGATCGCAGGGGGGTGCTGCTCCACTCACACCTGCTCATTTTTTTGTTAGCCACGAGTAAGGAGGAGTCAGGTGCTGCCAAGATGGCAAAAGCCAGAACCAACATACTGAGCTTCAAAACCAATGTTCAAGAAACCAATCAGCAGCATCAAGTAGGGTTTATCCATCTCTAAAACCAGTCTACGGTTGTGACCCATGAGTGCTGAGTAGTCACTGCAGTTTTACATGAGTTCCTGAGTCGGACCACGTTCATCTTGGGACTTGGCCTTCATTGTGACGTCAGCTGCACACCTTTGTGACCTAGCACAATTGTAATGTTGTCGTGTTGACAAAATTCTACAATTTCATTTAGCAGACGCTTTTATCCAAAGCAGCGTACATCTAAGAGCAGATCCAACACAAGTAAGGATCTAGTCAGGAGAAAACAATCCAGATGAGTGCCATAGAACAAGTTCCAGTGTGATAGGGCGTTGATGCCAATAGCAGGGTGTGTGGGAGGTAATAGGAATTTTTGTGTCCACAAACACATAGGTAGTTTTAGAAATGGGTGCCAAAGTGCTCAACATCGCCTTTGTGTTAGCAGGTTGTCCACTAATCACAAGGTTGGCGGTTTGAACCTTGGCCATTCAACTACCCCTACGTTGCTCCCGGTGGCAGGAGAGCACCTTGCACTGTAGCTCTGCCACCATTAGCATGTCTGTGAACATTTAAATGAGAAACAAAGTGTTTTGTCAAATCTAGCTAAGGTGCAATAAAAGTGCCAATCATTTACCATCCCAGGACCAAATTTTGCCATGACGACACACACCCGTGCACTCAGTGACTCACAAGGAAGAAAAAAATTCCAGCTGCCACAGCTGGTAACAGGTATGCAGTTGAAGAAGTTTTGGATGTGAGCCGAATCAAATTATATCTAATGAAGTGATGCACAGTTTGGCGTGATTGGCATCTCTGTGTGCCATTTCACCTCCTGTTCATTTGCCACAGACAACTGTGTTGCAGTTGTAGATTTGGAGAGCCCAAGTGAAGCAACTGATTACAAAATATCATCACACCATAGCATGACTAGATTTATCTACTCATGGTAGATAAGAAAAATAGGCTGGATTTGGTTGAAGGAGCAATGAGGATGTAAAAAGCTCACTGTTTGGGAATTCCCTGTCCCGCAGAGCCACCACCCTTTGTTAAGAATGACCTCTTCGATGAAAGTCCTACTTGAAATCTGCAGAAGAGCATTTCATTTTAACGCCTCTTTTTTCCCCGTCTCTCCTTGCAGGGACTTCACTGCAAGACCAAACCAGACTGTGAGTACTGATCCCACCTGCAGCCCATGTTTCTGCACAAGAGTTTCGTTCTGTTTTGCTTTTACGCTGCTGTAGACAATAGCTTTAGTGTTCCGAATTGCTTTCAATACAGGGTTGAAAAGTTATTTAAAAACCCTCATTAAGACCAAACTCAATTAAAACACGTAAATCATTGTAGAGGATAAAAGCGTGCCCCACCTATCATAAAGTATGAGAAGCTTTTAGAGCATAAACAATATGTAGTGAAAACAAAGGCCTGATATTTTATTCTACACCTGCCAAACAAAACACAGCAGACAGATAGGTGGCTGCCAGAATAATCCATTCAGCCACAGTCATTGTATAAAATGAAGCAGAAGAGATCAAAAATGGGATTTTGAAGAATAGAAATGCTGAAGCTGCGGTTGACAATGAGGGAGGAAACGTCTGTGTGTTTTGTTCTGTATGAAGAACAAAATGGACAAAAGCAGAGTTTAAACACCTCATTAGGACCACACGCTGAGCCTTTGTTTGGCATGTCGGCCTTTTTCTCGAGAAGGCACACACCCCACATTGTAACTGGCACAAAGCTCAACAACGTTTTTGCTACGTCACTGGGTGTATCACAGGAACATCACATCTCCAAAACAATCATCCCAGGCTCTGGAAGAATAACACTATTCCCGTCTTCTGTTCCATGTAGATTGGTTTCATCCGCCGTGCCAGAACCCTCCTGGAGGCCTCAACACCAGCTCTGTGCTCCACAACGTCAGCCTCTCCACAGTGATGAGGTGTGAAGGGAGGCAGAAGTGCTCGCTGCACCTCAGAATCAAAACGGCTTTACACCTTGCTGGTATGTAAACGTGGTGGATTAACATACAATTAACACGAGAGAGCTGTGGCTGATAGAAATGCTACAGTTACTGCAGTGCTGGAGGTACATAACCATCTGCACCACATTGTGTCTTCACCATGAATGAAAGTCAAATCTTCTATACAGCTTTTGACCAAACAAGTAAATGGAATGGAGCTAAAAAAGAAAAAACCTTTAAGCTTCCATCCAGTCAGTGCTTCTCCTACTGTGACCATTCAAACATCCACAGGTTGGATGAACAGCTACCACGTTAGCTTTTTGGAATCCAATAATACCCAATAATCAACAGACAAAAACTAGGAAGCATTTCTGAAGTTCCAGCTGAAATATGAATCCATCCAGATAGTTTGCTCAACCATGGACTTTATGGATGATACATGTCCTATAACCGATGTCTAAAGACAACATCTTGGTATACAAAAGTAGAACACGACATTTGACTAAAGACAATATTGTATGTAGAAACCAACAACGTAGGACTTTGGTGCTCCAGTAAAGGATATTCAGAGTGCAAAATGTCATTAATAATGCCTCACCAGGAGTTGGGTTGATATCAGTTCAACCTTTTTGCACTCCGAGGACCGATTGTTTTAGTTTAAGGGGGAGTTCGGCTGAATCAGAGTAGCAGAAAAACACACGCTTCCCAGTAACTCCCCAGTGTGTTTTTTTATGTCGTTATCTTTGCTGACCAAAGGGAGGATTTTGTTTTAGATCACCACATGGAGCTGTGCTTAGTCGGCAAATACACAGACTTGCTGTTTGTAAAAACTGCAGTGTCTCGTTTTCAGTTTAACACGTGTTCAACACAGATACAGGTGTGGTGCAGTTAGAACAGTTTGAAGGCAGCTTTCATGAAGTGGTGCAGAGTCAATAAAGTAGCCTGATGCAACAAGTTCTGCAAATAATCATGTTTTGAGGTGAGTTAAATGTCATGAATAGTAGTGAACTGATAGCTTGAAGGTTGATGGAATAATAGAGAAACTCTCTCTAGTTTGGTGGCTGCTGCAGGAGTAATGTCATATTCAGGTTTATATATTGCATGGTTATTGCTTCAAGGTTCGTCCCCAGCATCTTTGTTTTGCAGGATTAATGCACATTATCTACACCGAGGCTGCCCTTTGCACTTACAGAAGTTGTGACTGTACTGTTTTTTAACCTTGCCTTGATAAGGAAGTAGCAAATGCAGCTCTCTGGGTGTTGTCAAGCCAACATGGAGACTAGTCATGGTTACTAGTCATTATCTCTGATGACGCATTCAAAGGCATTTGCAGGTGAAGGAAGTTTCATTCACAAAACCTAACGCTGGCCATGACTAAACTTCTGCTTTTACACCCGTTGATATGTCAATAGACATTTCATGTTCCCGATTCTGCTGACAACACTCTGATAAGATTTGGGTGAAAATACAAGGTAGCTCCAAGTCAGTAGATTTCCTTACCGCCAGGGCTGGAATGGGGAAACCCCTTTGATCCTAAATGAGTCTGTAGTCCGATCAATAAACTCTCACCAGGGCAGTTCTTCCTGCCCAACACCCAAACTTATGTGTGTGTTATGCAAACAAACACACGCACACACAACAGAAGGGCATGAACAGTTTTTGAATGGTTAGCTGACAGATTAAAAGCTACTGTTTGAGAATTGTTCCCATGACGTACGGCTTCTGACGTTAAGACATTTTCTTTTCTTCTCCCACAGATTCCATACATGGTGTGTCTGTTTGCACCGTGGCCTCAGGGATGATGACAAACTGCCAAATTTTCAGCTTCACAAAAGCATCAAGAGCAAAGATGTCTGGACTGCAGGTAACTGTCAACAGCACTGGCATCACTGAGCACACTTTTAGACATTTGGTTAAAATTTAATTCAGAGTTTGACACAAGAGTGACTTTTCTGTTAAAGTAAACCCATATTAAAAACAAGAAAATGGACATAGGGGAGTTTTTTGTAACATCTGAAATGCTTTGTTTGTCTATCAGCTGAATGAGTTGGGTGAATAAGTGAGGTTTCCTTTTAGAAATGCACCTAAAAGTTGGCAATTATTTTGATTAGTGGTGCATTTCTTACACAACATGTACAACCTATGAAATAGAGCTAGCTTTATTTTAAGTTAATATTGGTCCAAGCATACACAACAGCTTCCATGATGGCATATTGGCAGACACATGACCGTTTTCTTTTCCTGAAGGTCGAAGTTGAGAACGACTGCACTGACATTTCTCCAAACCAACAAGTGCAAGTTACTGTGAAAACTGTACCAAGCTACTGTGGCTTAACCTGGACTGGCACCTACAAAGCTCCAGGTAATAATACACCCATGTACGCATGATTGTGCACGCATGCACATGAGTGTAGCTGGAGAATAACTAAAGTCAGTGAGTGGTGTTTTGTAACCCACCTCGTATTTCCTTGTGACGGATAGAAACAGTGATTCCCAGTTATGTAGGGATGAAAGTAAATGATTCACATGGACAAAAACCTAGTATATGGCATCTATGTAAAGGCCTGGTAGAGTTATGTCATGCCATTATGTCTCCACAGGATGCATCAGGGAGGATTTGAGAAGACACGTCCCAGATTGCATCAGTAAGCACATGTTTTAATTTTCAATATATATTTTTTTGCATTAACTAAGCAATGCATGGCTACGTCTAACATACATTTTTATGAGACATCAGTTCCCTTTTTCTTTTTTTTAATTCTATATGTCAACAAACAATTCGACCCCCTGAATTTTAAGCAGTTTCTGAACATTTTTGTTTTTGCTGTGGTCACATTTTGACTCACTGTAGACTCATTTTTCCCTGCAGTATAAAGTCCTGCACCTCTGTGGAAACAGTACAGTCATGCATAGAAAACTCAAGAGGGTCTCTGTGCGATATGACACAACTATAAGGGCCTCAGTCATAAATGAAGACAAAACAAAGTGTATTGACTATCGTCTGTGTGTAAACACTGCCTGCAGTCCAAATTTGGTTGCAGCTAAGTCACTAATGGCTTCATGGTTGCACTGACGATACAGGATTTTTTCTTTTTTACAGACTCCGCTTCAAGCTGAGGGTTTGTTTGGGTTTGTTTCTTGATGAAGTATTTGAGCTTAGACTTGGCTGTGGTTTCAGATGAAGATCTTGGCGAGCTTGGGCGTTCAGCTGTTTAATCGGAGGGGGATTTTTTCCTCAAATTATCTTGTCTGATTGTTTCCATTTGTCTCTTTCAGCTGGTAGACTGTCGTACAATGTCAACTCGGAGAGAAAAGAGCTGAGCGTCCAAGTGTCAGACATGCTTGACGATCAAGACTACCACGTCCGTCTGTGCCACAAGAATTTCATCTGCATTGGCACAGGAGCCAATACACTGGTTAGTCCCCTTATTTATTGGAAATGAGAATAAGAATGACTTTTTGTGTTGGATTTGTGAGAAACAGAGAAATGCAAAGGGACAACCAGATCTTGCACCATAGAACAGTGCCAGAAAAATCTAAATACACAACACACACATACATTATTTGCCTTGATGAGATATGGTTGCCGCTGTTTTGAGAAGTCTGGGTTGGTTGAATGTTCCTTAGCAGTGACAAGTTTGCTGAGTTGGAGACTCTGAACTGGTTGTTAGTTTGCACTTTTTAGTCTCCGATAAATTACTGATTATCCTAAAACAACCTTATTTAAAGTAGGGAAGCTTAAAGAGAAGCATCCCTTTTCAGTTTCAAGCAACGTGGCCAGTCATGCTACTGACGTGAAAGGGCCCTCCAAATGACTCATCAGGTCATTCACGTTGTAAGATCAAATCTACTCACTCAGTGACTCACCTATACTGACATCCAGGAATGTACAGAATCCTCTGTGTCATAGAAGAACTGTTCCCTTATGGATTCTCAGTTTGTAAAGTCTCACAGCTTGCTCATACCTGCAGAGACGTGGCTTATCAACCACACGACACAAGAATTTTCCTGGCAGATACATTAGGTCAAAGTAAAGATGGATAAATGTTTGTATTATTGCTCATGCTGCAGATAAAGAAGGAGCAACCCATAAAGAGCGTCATCCTCCCATACTCTCGACCTTTGCCCTGCCTCTGCATCGAGGTAAAGTTTCTGCTGACGCTCCTGGTTGTCAGCATCTGTTTCTGCTTGTAATCAGTTACGCAAAATGCCTTAAACTTCAGACACTCATTAATATATTCCCTACAGGGTTGGTCAGCAGTGATGGACGCCCCTAGAGTTCAGCTCTGCCCATTCAAAGACCGTGAGTCGCTCGATCGCGTTTAAAAGGATTTCATAGTGAAGACTGATAACATATCGTACCATTGCAAAAACACTATGAACTTATCTGTCTCCAGATGTGGAGGAACTTTGGTCTGGAATTACCTTTGACCCACTGGAGGAGACTCTGTTGTGGGAACCTTCTTGTCCGATCACTGCTGTGGCTGCATTGTGTCAGAAACGAGAGGACGGCGTCTGTTTGGATCTGCCTCAGTCCTCCCAGAATGTCAGCAGGGAGAAGGTATAAGCCTTTATAATGTGGAAGAAGTGAGCTGTTTTTAGCTTTCAATGCTTCTAGCTGCCGGTTGGGGTCACAAATCACTTGGAATGCAATACAGTGTAGGCCTGCCAGATCTACAACACAAAAAGGATGTTGCTTATGAGACATCGAGTTCAAAAACCAGACTGACTGGAGCCTGGTCACGTCTCACAGCTTAGTCACTACCCTTAAAATATTACCCACATTTGTAATAAGTGTCAGGAATTAATGGAAACTTTCTTGTGATTGATTGACGTAATTGTGCCTTGCGATATCAGCTGTTGGCACAATAAGCCAAGTATGAAATAAATCTGTCAACGTCTTCCTCCTGACTCGGCATTCTGTATACAAAGAGGAGGAACATGGCAACTACGGGAGTCTTTGAGACTTTGTGAGGCTCAACTTGCACAAATTGTCATGAAATCTAGATACAAAAGAGTCAGAATTACACTTTCTTTGGAAATGACTCAAGGTGAACATGAGTTCCACCTAAATGTCACATTACCTTGGTATTATAAGGTGTACCTGATCAGATGATGATGTAACAGTCACAATAGAGCAATGAGGAAACCTGATCAGCTGAAAATCCTTGGCCGATACCTTAAGCCCGGTGGCCAGTCACCTGAGAAGGGAATTCTGTGTTAATTTAAAAATAGCCGGTGACGCAGAGTCTTTGTTTTCTGAAAGCTGAATCAAAACGACCCAAAAAGCAATTTAACCCAGATAGCATGTGTAGTCTGTTTGAGCCAGACATCCACGTCAATGGTTACTTTTTGTGCACTGGTATGTAATTAACGATGGTTTTCTTTGTCAATGCTTTTCAGCTAACATTTACAAAAGTGGATCCACACCCTCAGCTGTGCGTGAAGGTAATGATCACTTTCCCATCTTTTGTCTTTTAGTTCCCTGTACAGAAACAATGGGACTAAAATAAATGTCAGGGTTTGACCAAGGCCACTGTTTTATATAGTACAGGTAACTCATCACTTACGGCACATGTGTTCTTCTTCCTTTTGTAACCTTGATTTACCTGTCCTTGTATCTGGTAACAGATGCTCCTCATTTCCTCCAGGCTAGAACTAAGCGTCAGTTCAAAAATACTAAGCTCAGTTGTCAGGGTATAGTTTGACATTTTGACACATGCCAAAATTAATAATAAAATCCTGTGCTTCCTGAGAGCTGAATAAGAATATTAATTCCAGTCTTTCATGTCTGTACATGAAGCTACTGCCAGAAGCCACCTAGCTTAGCTTAGCAGCTAGCCTAGATTAGAGTAACAGGAATGGAAGTGTATAATAGGTCACATTGTGATTTTATCTGTGTCTGTGTGTCAGACTCTTTCCTGAAACCAGCAACATCCTCGAGTTTGTGCTGCTTTCGTAAAGGCCCTAGTTATGCTGGTCGACGGATTTAGTGTCGCTGGAGCAAAGCCAGGCCAATACTAGCTACTGCCAGCTGCCAGTTAGCCTAGTTTACTGGGCTAACGATTTCTAGCTCACTTGTGAGCTAAACAACCTGGTGCTAGTTTCCCGCTTTGTATCGGCACTATCACTTAAATGTCATATGATTCAAAATGGTGTCATGTCTCAGCGTTTTCATTACTTCTATGTAAAAGGGCCCTTGTGTAGAAATAAAATATAACAGCTTAGATTTACTATATCACCAATACAGGCCCAACAGTAGGAGTTTAATGGAGCAGAAGTTAGTGCAACTTTTGTTACAGAGATCAACATCTTTCACCCTTATTGTTGATGACAGACTCAATGGTTCTTGGCATGGAGGGTACCAGATTTCTGAAGAATTGTCCTGCCACATTTAGAGGCATGTTTTTTTTTTCAGTTGCTCTTTGCCTCCCTCTTTAAAATGCCCCCTGGGGAAGCGTTCTTTTGGATTCAAGTCAGACGGCATACTTGGCGCGGTCATAGGTTTCACGTATTGGCAGTGTCTTTTGGATCGCTATCATGCTCGAATAGTCGTGTTTTACCAAGCTTCTGAGTATGACTCATCTTGTCAGCTCATATTTTGGTACCATATCCACAGACATTCAGGATGCCATCTACAAACATTATCCCACCTTTTGTTCTCATGCGGACCCACGTTCATGCCGAACTCACAGGACTAATCTGAAGCCATAAAATGTATCTTGGTCTCATCTGAAAAAAAGAATGTGCCCCCAGTATTCATCAGGCTTCCTTTCATGTTATTTGGGAAAGTTTAATCTTAGAGTATTGTTCCGAACAAGGTTGTTTTTGTTTCATGGATGCCTTTCGCAGAGCTTGGTGGTAGACATTGCTCTTTCCACCGTCTGAGCTCTCACCGAATTGCCAAATTCCCACTGATAAGTCCTGTGCCAAGTCGGAAAGTAGTGCACAACGTCATTTTAATAGGAAGGCAACTGCAGCACTGATTAGCGGTACTGTGGCTTGTTCTTTACCTCCTAATTACTGCTGCCACTGTGACCTTTCTGCATCCTTTCCCGTAATCCTGAAGTCTCACAATCAGATTATTTTAGTTTCTCTGGCAAGCGTTTGTCTGTCTGCATGTCTGCATCATCGCTCCACATGAAAAACACAGTCCATTGGTTCAAAACTGGGAAAGTTCTGGTTTTCATAGTCCATTTTGTAGCCATATTCAATCTGGCTACATAAGTGTACTCAGTTTTGTTTCAATGACAACAAGTTCGCCAATTCATTGTCACTTTTGCTGCATTAAGTTTCTTCTTTGGTGCCTGTATTTTCAATATAGTCTTTCTAAAGTGTTTCTTTTTTTGTTGTTGTTTTTGAGACAAAATACTCAACTTGTCAACTCGGATATAATGCAAGTGTTCAGGGTTTCCTTTAATGTGACACCCATTGGTTTATCTTCTTCTTTTTATTTCCACTTCTGAGCGTTGCCACATGTTAATTAAAGTAACGCTAAAAACCAAACAAAACAGGAAACTTTGTTCAATACTTGTGTATTCTTGCTAATTTCAGCCGTTAACTGGGAACCTAAACACAAAGCAGAAGTATTGTAATCTACAGTTTTACGCAGTGGTAAAGGTCACGTAGGTTACGTCCTTATTGGGCTTCCTGATGAGCATTGTCACCTTTTTCTTAGAATCAGCTGGTATTGTTTTATATAACTGCTGGATTAGGAGCCCTTATATAATTGTAATGTCTTCCTCAGTTTACTGCCGGCTCTGATTCCTGGACCAAGTGCCCTTTTGCTGATGGGAGATTTCAAGGTACCACATATCCTCATACGTCATTTTACATCCGTGTTTGTTACAGACTTTACAGACCTTACGTAATGTTGTTTAATGCATCACCTGTGATACCTGTACAATGATTTCCAGCATGGGAGGTGACTGAGACGAGACAACATGGGCACGAAGAAGTGAAGATGTCATCGCAGATTACTGCCACGTTTTCTGTGGGTCTGTGTGTGAAGTCTGCAGGTTCATCTGATTGTCCCGTCACTAAAACGCACACTGTGCACGTGGTAAGTGTCACGCACCTGCCACTATAATAGTTGTGAATCACTGGCAGCACGGGAGATTCCAAAAGATAATCCCTCACTTGGTGTTGATCTAAGTTTAGATGTGCAACGTAACTTTAAAGCTGCATATATACGATGACCTCAGGCCCTGCATGTTTACACCAGTGAGCTTCTTCTAATACACGGGTGGGCAATCCTGATCCTCGAGGGCCACATGTTTCCCTCTTCCAACACACCTGATTCACATGATCAGGATCGTTATCAGGCTTCTGCAGAGCTCGATGATGAGCTGATCATTTGAATCAGGTGTGTTGGAAGAGGGGAAACATCTAAAACATGCAGGACTGTGACCCTCGAGGACCAGGATCGCCCACCCCTGTTCTAATGGATCACTGTTTGCTGTCTGTTTCCTTTTTTCCAGGAAGCGATTTTCTCCAAGGTGTTGAAACATTAACCTAGTTTTTCTTATCTACAGTGCAATAAGGTTGCAAATTACCCCTTAAAATTATGAATTATAGCAATAACAAGGTGTCTGCCAACACATCAATCAGATAAAATGTGCAACAACATGTTTTTAGATATCTCAGTTATATGCACTCTTATTATCAGGCAGTCATCCATCTCCTGTGCTGGCTCTGACACGGTTGGTAGCAGGAATCGCTACGACTTCCAACTTACCTGCAGGACAAGATGTTAAGAACATAAGAACAAAAACAACGTATGTTTTTTTTTCTCAGGAGAAACACAAAGCAGTTGACCTGGAGCTGGCGGGGGAACTGTGCGGCTCTTGCCTCCAGGTATGTTTGCAGATCATTTGAGGTAACTGCGTGTTATTGTACATTTACGGTGCCTATAAAAAGTGTTAAGCCCGCCTCGGAAGTTTTCCCCTTTTATTGCCTTTCAACCCTGAATCAAGGTCAATTAAATCAGACTTT